AAATCATTGATTTTTATCCACCCTGCTGTACTGTATCTGGATCCGTTCCAGTCGGGCTTCAGGCCTGGGTACAGAATGGAAATGGCATTGGTCGCGTTGGTTGATGATCTCTGGAGGGCTCAGGACAGAGGTTGCTCCTCTGTCCTGGTCCTATTAGATCTCTCAGCGGCTTTTGATACCATCGACCATGGTATCATGCTGCACCGGTTGGAAGAGTTGGGGGTGGGGGGCACTGTGTTGCAGTGGTTCCCCTCCTTCCTCTCTGACCGGTTGCAGTCTGTGTTGGCAGGGGGGCAGAGGTCGCCCTGGAGGCGCCTCATATGTGGGGTGTCACAAGGGTCAGTCCTCTCGCCCCTTCTGTTCAACATTTATGTAAAGCTGCTGGGCGAGATCATCCGTGGTTTCGGGGTGGAGTACCATCAGTACTCAGCTGTACATCTCCACCCCGGACCACCCCAACGATGCCCTTGAAGTGATGTCCCGGTGCCTGGAGGCGGTGCAGATCTGGATGGGGAGAAACAGGCTCAGACTCAACCCATCCAAGACTGAGTGGCTGTGGTTTCCGACGTCCCGATATAGTCAGTTGGTGCCATCATTGACTATTGGGGGCGAATCGCTGGCCCCCACGGAGAGGGCTTGCAACTTGGATGTCCTCCTGGATTCACGGCTGTCTTTAGAAGAGCACTTGACGGCCGTGACCGGGAGGATGTTTCATCAGGCTCGCCTGATTCGCCAGTTGCGTCCCTTTCTGGATCAGGACTCCTTACGCATGGTCACTCATGCCCTCGTCACTTCCCGCCTGGACTACTGTAACGCTGTGTACATGGGGCTCCCCTTAAGGAGCACCCAGAGGCTCCAACTGGCGCAGAGTGTGGCCGCATGGGTGGTTATGGGAGCGACATGGCGTTCCCATGTAACACCTCTCCTGCGCAAGCTGCACTGGCTCCCAGTGGTCTTCTGTGTGCACTTCAAGGTTTTGGTTACCACCTTTAGAGCGCTCCATGGCTTATCTACGGGACCGCCTGCTACCACCAGTAGCCTCCCACCGGCCAGTACGCTCTCATAGAGTGGCTCCTCCGGGTGCCGTCGGCCAAACAATGTCAACTGGCGCCCCCCAGGGGGAGAGCCTTCTCTGTGAGGGCACCTACTATCTAGAATGAGCTCCCCCCGGAGATACGGAGGATCCCGGATCTGCGCACCTTCCGCCGCGCTCTCAAAACCTTTTTATTCCATCAGGCTGGCCTGGCCTAACTTTCCCTTTTTCCTTTTTAAAATGTAAATTTTAAATCTGTTCTTAATTATTGGGATGTTTTAAATCTGTCTTGGGCCAAATTGTTTAATTTGGTTTTATTTTGCTTTTAAATTTTGTATTTATGTATTTTATCTTGTGGCTGTTCACCGCCCTGAGTCCTTCGGGAGTAGGGCGGTATGTAAATCAAATAAAACCTAAACCTAAAACCTAAACTGTAGCAAGGCTATAATCCTATGGAAATTAACTTGGAAATAAATCCCCTAATCCCAGTGAAGTATTTTTCAAAGTAATCTCATCACCCAACAACAGTTGCAGGTGTTTACCGAGAGTGCCATTTTTACTATAATGTTTTTACAGTTGGAAATAGCACTACAAAAGCCTCCATAACTGTTTGCAGATGGGCTATTATATAATAATGTATTTTATAGTTTCCCTTGGCCTAACATGAAAACTGAAGTGATAAAAAGAAAACAATGTTACCACTCTAACAACAGAGCATTTGTCTGGATATTACACAGTATGTGTATGTGGGTGTGGGTGTGCCATAAGGGTTTCACAGAACATATCTATGCAAAACATCTAATTCTTTTCTATCGTGACGACAAGTTCATGTTCTTATTCAAATGACACTATAAAACTCCCAGACAATTCTTCTTTGGGATTACTGCAACCAGAGAGGTTGCAGATAAAGTAATACTAGAGAGGCTGAGGAGCAGTTGCTGTAGGCTGTTGCATAGGAGAGTAACATCAAAGAAGAAGAAATGCTAAAGGCAGCCACTCATTTGCAGCATCCTAAAATGCCCCTTTTTGCTGCAATCAGAACATGTCTGGAACGCTGGAGCTGGCTGCATGCTGAAAAAAATGGAAGTGGTGGGAAGCAAAGCTCCCGCGAGGCTGTGCAGAACGCCATCAATCCTAAAATAAAATGTTCCAGCTTGCATTGCAATGGGTTAAAGCCACCAAGCAGATACTTAGATCCTGTGGAAGCAAATCTCTGCTAAGAATCATGCTGAATTTGCTCTGCATTCTGCTGTGGTGGTTTCCCATGCATCCACCCTTTTGTGGAGCGGGGTGGGGAGGAGCCTGCTTTATGTTGCACCTCTTGAGCCTTTGGAACTCCCTGCTACACAGCTTCCTTCTGTCCCACTGAGGGAGCTTCCTAGGCATTCAGTCCTTCATGTGGTGGGCGTGGCTGTTCACATGCAGCTCACGTCAAGCCTCCAAAAGACTCCCCACCCCTCTGAGGCACTCCTCATTCTTTTTTTTCTTTTTTTTTATTGAAAAGTTTTACAAAAAGTTTACATATTCCCCCCCCTTCCCTACCTCAACCTCCCCCCTCCCCCCCTCCCCTTCCCAGAACAAATTACAGGATATAAACTTCAACAATCATAATCAATCCTAATCTAAACAATTATGACATTTCACATCTCTTGTTTCTTCAATTCCCTAATTACCCGCCTAGCTTTATTACTTAAAGACACACTAAATATCTATATAATCATTCATAACCTATCTGCAATTTCTTATTCCGATATTTATTTTGAATATAATCTATCCACCTTCTCCAATCTCTTAAATATCTTTCATTTGAATGATCCTTCAGGTACGCCGAAATTTTTGCCATTTCCGCTAGATTTATAACTTTCATTGTCCACTCTTGGATTGTAGGTAAATCTTGCTTCTTCCAATATTGTGCCACCAACAGTCTTGCTGCAGTTATTAAATTCAAAATCAATTTAGTCTCTATAACTGTACAGTCCGTAACTATACCCAGAAGAAACAGCTGTGGTGTAAATTTCAACCTCTTTTTAAGAATATTTTGTAAAATCCACCAGATTTTAATCCAAAACGCTTTAACCTTTTTACATGTCCACCAAATGTGAAAATAAGTAGCATCCTCACAATTACATCTCCAACATTTTGGTTGTACATTCGGATACATACGAGATAACTTTTTTGGATCTAGATGCCATCTATAAAACATTTTATAAAAGTTCTCCCTTAAATTTCGCGCTTTGGTAAATTTCACATTTGTTACCCATATTTTCTCCCACGTTTCCATCATTATTGGCTGTTCAAAATTCTGCGCCCATTTTATCATACAGTCCTTAACTAGCTCTGTTTCCGAGTCCATCTCTATCAGTATATTATACAATCTTTTTATATGCATTGAACTTTGATCTCTAATTTGTTTAATTAGAGGCACTCCTCATTCTTAATCATCCTGGTCACAGATGTCCCAAAGGTGCTTTTCCAAAAGGTAGCTGGACTTTCTTGGGTTTTTTTTTTTCCTTTGAAAAAGTTTCGCTTCTTAGATGTGGAGCAAAATGTTTTGAAAGAGGGGGGAAAAAACCCCAAGAAAATCCAGCTGCCTTTTGGAAAAGCGTACTTATTTACAACTAAATAACCAGTGAGACTGTTTAACGACTGCAAGGGAATTGCAATTATCGAAGAAAGCAGTCACTTGATGAATTGCTTAATGACTGCTTCACTCAGTGACTGAGATTTCAGGCTGGTCTGGTCATTAAGTGAGGACTACCTGTAACAGTTATGCCATTTTTAACTCTGGTAGGTTTATGTGAAGATTTTTAATCTATCTCAAGCTAAGTATTGCTCAGCTGATAACAGATGAATAAGAGAGGAAAGAATCTTTGTATTCTAAAATGATAGCTTACGCGTTTTTATCATTTTTTTTTTCATAATAAACACAATATAACCTCTCTGCTCCACTTCACATTGAGGAAGCAAACTAGGTTGCATTGGCTCATTAAGTTTCCTGTTATATCTGAACTGGGGGAAAAATACACTCATTATATGAGATAGGTGATCATGTAAGTTCTGTGAGTAAAATTAAAAATAATTAATAAAAGGCTTCCAAATATTATAAACCAAGTTCTGATTTCCTGGTTTTATTCAGTATCCTACTTGAAGAAGAAGGAAAGTATTGCTGGTGTTTTTGTATAAGATTCATACATTGGCTTGTTGAACTGAAACCTGATCTTCCAAATGTGCCCACTTCTCTTCATATGAACTGAATATACCTTGATGATCAGAGGGAAACAGCTTGTGCTCGTGTCTCTTAGAACAGTAATAAACTATCAATATCTTCATGGATAACTTCTGGGTTTATCAGTGATACAGAATTAATACATCTTTTAGAAAGAAAACTGCCTTCTGAAACACTTCCTATGCTTTTTTCCCCACATGTACCCTCAGCTGTTTCTTATCAGATCATGTGGTAGACTAGAAGTCTTTCTCCCGTCTCCCAAGATCATTCACATACTATCAGATTTCAGCATTAGGAATTATTCAGTTTTCCAGTTCCTCTAATAAGCATCCTGCTACAGGTAAATCCTTCACTTGCAATCGTTCATTTAGTGACTGTTTGAAGTTAGGATGGTGCTGAAAGTCGTGACTTACAACTAGTGCTTGCATTTACAAACAATGCAGCATTCCCATGGTCACATGATCGCAATTCAGGCACTTGACAACCAGCATCTATTTACAGTGGTTGCAGCGTCACAGGGTCATGTGATCACCAATTGCCACCTTCCCAGCTGACAAGCAAAGTCAGTGAGGAAAGCTGGATTTGCTTAATAACCAGAGTGATTTGCTTAACTACTGCATCAATGGAAGTTTTGGTGCCAGTTGTGGCATAAGTCGATGACTTATCTATATTTGTAATAACAGCTGAATTAATTTATCAAGAATAGTTCAATCAAATAAATTATTTATTTATTTTTCTCAGGTACCACTGGCCTTCTGAGGTAGACCAGACAGGAAACAGGACCAGGTGAGCAAATTCTATTTTATTGTATGGCTGCAGTACAGAATCTTGCAGGTCTGAAAGTACAAATCTCCCGCAGTCCCTTTTTACAGCCTGATAATCTAAGGAGGTTCCTTTCTGAATCTTTTTCTCTGCCCATTGTGCAGCTATGGGCTATATCCTCTTTTATCTTATCATTCCCTAGGAGCATTTCTCCCCATACACACACACATTCCTAAGAATCACGTCATTCCCACCTTACAGGTACTTATGATACATGATGCTGCAAATGCAGGTTCAACTAAACTGTTTTGCTTAATATATACTGGCTGCTGGAGGGTTAAGAAACTGAACTGCATTCAAAAACACAGCCTTGCAACTTGGGGACAATCGTGCCATTTGCAAGACAAGTCTCTATTGGACAAGGAAACAGATTGTATTTGAAAATTAGTAACAACTAGGACAACAATATCGACTATTTACTGTTTATGTATTCAAGTGTATATGCATATGTACAGTATATATGTATTTAAATCGGGTAATTTTTCAAAAATCCTGCTTACCTTGAAAACTGCTGTTGCAGTCCGCACATTTGAACCCTGTGGCGCTCAGATTCCAGGGTCATTTCCTCTAGTCTTTTTTCACTTTCAAATCTCAAATGTCGCTCTTCCTCCAACTCATGTACCAGTTTCTCGCGCTTTAAAAAAAAAAAAAAAAAGCAAGTGACAAAATTAAGCAGAGTTCCAATGTGTAAGACCTAGGCTGCTACTGCTATTGAAAGACAATCATGTAGAAGAGGTGAGTAAAAACTTTACCCTGGGTCAGCCCCCTTCAACCAAGAGCCCATCAGATGATTAGCATTTCAAAAACCCATAAAGGTAGTCCTTGTGTAACGACTGCCCTGTTTAGTGAGATCATTCAAGTTTACAACAATCCTGAAAAAAATAACTTTGTCACTGTTCCTTGTACTGTCCTTGTGACAGTTCAGCATCCCTGTGGCCATATAAAAAAGATTTGGGTATTTTGCAAACAGAAAGCATTTACAACCATTACAATATCCCACGATTGTCATTTAACTGCTTCATAGCCAACTTTTGACAAGCAGAATCAATAGAGAAGTCAGCAATAAAATTGCAAGTCACAGTTATGATTAATAAGATGATTTGCTTAATGACTGTAACGGAAGTGAGTTCCTTAGTCTATTCTAGACCCGTCAAACTGGTGGCCTGTGGGCCAGATAAGTCACGTACAGGCCGCACCCACCCCAGCTCTGCAAAGACAAAAAAGTCATGATCCATCATTATCTGGTTTGACACCAAGGGTCTATTGAGGTCATATGTCTTGTTTAATGACCATGTTACTTAGCAATAGCCTTTCCCATTCCCATTGTGGTGGTTAAGTAAGAATTACTAATAATTTCCTAGCCATCAAGGCTACTGGCCCTATAAATTGCAAATCGTTAAAAGTTGGCTGGCATACAAGTTTAATAAATTATTGTTGCTATCACTATGTTTTTTTACTCGCAGAGCTTTCTTCGCTTAAATGTTTTTTTAACTATAATAATAAAATACAGAATAAAAACAAAGTATAACCTGATACCAACAATTTAAAAGAAATAATGAGAGCAGCTGATTTTAAAGGGAAATTTTTGAATAATTATGTTTATTTTTTAATTTCTGGAAGAAACCCCCACAGTTGTTAAGTGTGCTTCAGAAAGTAAGAATCACTTCAGAGAATGCATCCTGCCTTACTACAACTGAAGTACTGTAGTCCTGTTGGAGACAGCAGGGAATCATCTCCTGAATTTACAGTTCTTAATAGTCGGGTCCTGAGCATCTGAGGACTAAATACAGCTGAAACAGAAAATATGACAGCATACGTATAGATACCTACTCAGCTATTTCTTCTTTGTGATCAGTTCAATAAATTAAATTTTTCATGGAGAACAGTCAACTCTGTATGATATTCAAAGCTTTACAGATATATTAATGGTTAAGTAGGGGTAATTAGAAATAGAAAGTTTAAAGAAAGATGAAATGAAGAAAGCACAGACAGTGATAATTACCTTATTATCTGTGCCTAATCATAAAGCAGCTGTTGAATGACAACAGATATTGCCAAACCGCTGAGCTGATAAACATATATAATATCACAAAATGATTTATATAAAATATAGAGGACAGAGAGAACTCTCTTTGTAATAAAAATATCACTAAATTGTCATACTTCATTTTCTAAATTTTATTTCCTTCCAGTATCATTCTTTACAATCCTACTGACAACCATTAAGTGCACATATTCCTGTATCTCAATCAGCCAGCCATTGGTGAAGTAGTTAAGGTTCTTTCATTCTGTCAATCAAAGAATTTTCTTTCTCCACTAGAAAATACAAGAGCTTCCATTTCTCCAATAGTAGGATCTATAAGCCCTTCTCCATCATGAAAAGGTTAGGAGAAAGTGTGTGTGTGTGTGTGTGTGTGTGTGTGTGTGTGTGTATTTATGTAATATTTACCCCCGAAAGCTTTAACTTTTCATGATGGACAAAGGCCATGTACACACACACACACACACACACACACACACACACACACACAGCATTACCTTGTTTGTGGGCTGCCATGACTTTCAAGTATATTTGATGCTTATAACCTAAATTTTATGAAATACCAGTACAGTATTGTATCAAAACTTAGGCATATAATTTTATTACAGAATTTAAAAAAAGCTTTCTTGGTATTAAGCCATTATTTGCACAAGCTGTGGTATTATAAATCATATTGGATAATAAATGTATAATAGCAGTAACCAAGAGACCAAAATATGAGCCAGAAAAAGATCTCAAAGACAGTGATATATAAGCAGATGTCTTTAGAGGCAGGTTATAAGAGATTAAATGAAATACCTATGCATATTGTAAACTATGGAGAATTACACAGAGGAGACAGGACTTAGGTGAAGAAAATCTCACATAAATATTTGGAAGTGTGAATGTTTAAAATGGGAAATAATAATATATGGAAATAAATTTCAATAAAAAAATTGAGTAACCTAATTAAATTAGCCAATTAAAATGTATTGTTACTTTCTCATAGTCTTGCAAATGCTGAAAAGAATACTTACAGGAAGCTTTGAATATAGAATATAGTGCAATATAGTGCAATATTTCACACCATCAGAATTCTGCAAAACTTGAATCCATTAAAACCAGTGCTGAGGCTCCCCTCTCATGGTTAGGATAGAAATGCATGTTAAGCAAAATGGATGTAATTCCTAAATAGTTAATTACAGATTATTGTAAATTGACAAGGAACATTTGCAAGGTAGATATGGCATATATATATGGCCATTCTTAAATCTGTCATATTCACTCACCTTTCCCTACAAATATATCATCCACGTATCACTTCTTGGAAAATCCAAAGTTCTTATAGTTGTGAAAAAGAGTCAGGGAAAAGAAATAAATCACAGAGGAATCTTGCCTACACATTTTCCATGAAAATTCTATTTCCTGTATCTCCTGAAAAACAGATTTCAACAACCTCAAGCGCCATACACCATGTCATCCATGGTTTTCTGACAAAGCTTGGAGCAGGTGTCTCTGTAAGCTACTTCACAACAGCAAACCTAACACAGGCTATTTTTTTCCCCTCGTGCGGTGAGGTTAAGTTTTATTTGATCTCAGGAGAAATCTTCTGGATGGGATCTCTCTTTCTCTACATCAGTGATGGCTAACCTTTTTGTCATCTCGTGCGAAAAGTGGGAGGAGTGCGGGGGGGTCGCGCACACATGTGCCCACACCCATAATTCAATGCGCCCCATGCATGTGCTTGTGACCCTCTGCACTTTTGGCACACAATGGCACAGTTGTTCCAGTAGGCCCGTTTTTCACCTTCCTCAGGCTCCAGAGGCTTTCTTGGAGGCTCTCTGGAGGCTGGAAACGGCCTGTTTGCCAACTTCTGGTGGGCCAGGAAGGCCCAAAAATCAGCTGCTCATGCGCACCACAGCTGAGCTAGGGCAATGATCGCGTGCCCACCGATACAGCTCTGTGTGCCACCTGTGGAACACGTGCCATAGATTTGCCATCACTGCTCTATATAATTAGAAGCACAAAACTCACCATTTATCTTGATTTTCCAATTCTTTGTTTTTATCTTCGTATGCCAAATTGTGCCAAAAGTATTGTGCATGCACACATACCCCTACTAGGTTTAATTTAAGAAGCTTTCCTTTAGAGGCATAACTCTGAGCATATGAACAAGAGGAGAGAATACAGATCAATTTACTTTAGCCCAGTGGTTGAAATAATACTTTAGCCCAGTAGCCCAAATAATTGAACAATGGTTCTCTGCTGTAATGACCGGCTGGGTAGGCTTGGCTGGGTGGTCATGTGACTGAGTGGGTGTGGCCAACTTGATGTCACTCACGTCGAGGGATACTTAGCCTCGCCTGGCCTCTTGGGACCATGGGGATGCTGCAATGGTCATAAGTGTGAAAAACAGTCATAAGTCACTTTTTCAGTGTCATTGTAACTTTGAATGGTCACTAAATGAACTGTTGTAAGTCAAGGATTACCTGTACAAAAATACAAAAAGCTTCTTTCCTTGCAAAAAGCTGCCCTAAACACCAATCATTAGATTAGAAATGGGGGGCTACACACTGAAGATCAATGAGCAGCTGTCATGGAAAGCTAAACCATTCTGTCTGAATACCTTCCTTTTCCTCAGCAATACCTGCAACCCAGAGTTACAAATCAGGCAGGGTGCTAAAAGCACATTGAGGAATTAAAGTAGTTAAAATACAGTGTAGGAAGTTAGCACTCACCCCTCTCCTAGAATAATGAAATATTCTAGGAAATATTAAAAAGGCAGAATATTATACCTCCCTGGATGAGAAAAGGAAAAACATGCTATTGGAAAGCAGCCCCCACCTTTGTTAATAGCCTCAGAAAGACTGGTGCCAACCTATCTATAAGAGGAAAGACTGGGCCATCTTATCTACAAAAGACCTTCAGCTCCAGGGTGATAGGATTAGCCCTCACTCAAGATCCAAACCAGGACAAAGCCATTAACCCATAAAAGGAATTGCCCAAAGCCCCTTCATTACATCACCCACCAAAATTCAACCAAGCCTGGGACTCACGACAACCTAGAAAGTTACCTCTGCATATCCAGGATTAGCCCTGTAAAGTGGGAAAAGATTTGTTCCAACAACCGGTTCTCCGAACTGCTCAGAAAATTAACATACGGTTCGGGAGAACCGGTGCAAACAAGCAGGAGCCCACCACTGCTTTGCCCCCTGGGACAGTAAAGCTAGAAAACCAGCACTGATCATCAGTATCAAGTAGAATCATTTTATTTTAATTTAAACTTTTGTTTAATAGCTTTTGATAAAAAATAAATTCAGGTAATGCTAGGTAATGCTAATTTAAACAGACAGAACTCGTAAAAACGACCAACTGCACAGATACTTAAAGAATACTTAAGAGATAGAGAACTTTATCATCTTTCTTAATGTAATGTAAGGTAGTCCTTGATTTACAACAGTGCATTTAGTGACTGTTTAAAGTTACAATGGCACTGAAAATAGTGACTTATGACAAGTGGTGAAATCCGAACCGGTTTGCTACCAGTTTGCTGGCCACGCATGCGCACTGCATGCCAAATGTGCACTGTGTGTGCATGCACAGTGTGCACCAAATGTGCACTCTATGCACACATGAACATGCGCAGTACACGCCAAAAGGAGGCCTGGGCAGGTAAGTAGAAGTGGGGGGGGGATCAGCTGTAGCGTGCAATTTAGCTTCCCTAGAAAGCAGGATTTCCTGCTTTCTAACAAAGCTAAACCCCACTGTACAGCTGATCGTGGGAATTACCGGTTTTCCCAAACCTGTAGCTTTTTTTTACTACCGGTTCACTGAAAACCAGAGGAAACCGGTAGCATTTCACCCCTGCTTATGACCATTTTTCAACTTTCAACCATTACAACATCTCCGTGATCACATGATAAAAATTTAGATGCTTTTGTTATTAACTTAACAATTACAGTGATAACAGCTGTGGCAAGAAAGGTCCTAAAATGAGGCAAAATTCACTTAAAAGCTGTCTCACTTAGCACCAGAAATTGTGGACTCAATTGTAGTCGTAAGTTGAAAACTACCTGTATGTGTAAAGGAACAGATACAATAAGTCAATAACTAACCCTATGTAACCCATCTATTCAAAAGTGTACACCAACACAATATCAAAGAGTATGATAAACAAATAATTATGGATTCCACTGAGCAAATTGGGGCATTTTTCTTTCAGTGGACTTCCAGGTGCCCAATAGGTTAGCACTAAACCAAATCTAGTTGGCAACCTTTTCGCCCTGATTTTTAGAGGCCCCGTGCAGGAAAAAAAAAATCTGAAAAGTCATACATACAGAAACTAGAATCTAAATCAAACCTTTTAAAAAGGTTACATTAGTAGAGAAAGTCACAATAAATACAGTACTATGGAAATGGATCTATCAATGAACAAAATGAGAGTAATTTGCATTTTAAAAAAGGTTCTTAAACCAATTTACATTAACAACTATGCAAATTTGGAAAAGGTGCATACAAGACGCCAAATGTTAGGAGACTTAGCAAATGGAAAAAGTTATAAAATTTACAGTTTCAGAGATGAAATCTTTATCTGCTGACACGTGGAACAGAAAGTAGCACTATTAAACATGTTCCACACATCCAAACAGAAAGAAGTAGATATAAATATTGAGGGATCAGATAATTTGGTTTTTGTTTGGTTTTTCAGTGTTTATTCATAAGTCTGCTACCCCTCTCTCTCTCTCAGCATTAATCTTTATAATTTCTGCAAGAGAATTGGTATGAATGTTAAATGCAATAGCAAAACCAGCATTTTCTTCTAAATATTTCCTTTACTTGTTTGATGTGTGTAGAATA